TGTGATATTCCGTTGCCTGTTCCATGGCAGTGCAAGCTAAAAGGAAGCGGGAATGTTGATCAGCAAGGGTGTTTCCCGCGGTGAGAGGAACTGGCAGAGAGGTATGTGCTCTAATATGGGTGATAAAAATGGGATCTGATCTCCTAAATAAAGCGTGCTGAACAAGCTCAAAATAAGGAAACACTGTAGAACTTTTGGATATTAGCGAAGGGGAGCCTAGCCTCTTAACAGCATTAACAACATATAAGCTATGAGAAACGATATTAAGAGGACCCTCAACCATATTTTTTAATTTTTTCATTATTTTTTAACTTTTATTTAATGAATATAAATTTCCAAAGTACGACTTATGGATTACAATGGCTTCCCCCCATACCATCCCTCCCACCAACAACCCTCCCCTTTCCCGCTCCCTCTCCCCTTCCATTCACATCAAGATTCATTTTCGATTATCTTAATATACAGAAGATCAGCTTAGTATACATTAAGTAAGGATTTCAACAGTTTGCTCCCACACAGAAACATAAAGTGAAAAATAATAGATGATTTTTTTAAATGATGATGAAATCAGATCAGACCTATTGTCATGTTTAATCCCAGTGAGAGTCAAGTTGGGAATTGATAATTTCTTTCTTTTTTTTTTTTACAGAAGATCAGTTTAGTATGCATTAAGTAAAGATTTCAACAGTTTGCACCCCCATAGAAACACAAAGTGAAATATACTGTTTGAGTACTCAGTTATAGCATTAAATCTCAATGCACAGCACATTAAGGACAGAGATCCTACATGAGGAGTAAGTGCACAGTGACTCCTGTTGTTGACTTTACCAATTGACACTCCTGTCTATGGCATCAGTAATCTCCCTATGCTCCAGTCATGAGTTTCCAAGGCTATGGAAGCCCTCTGAGTTCTCCGACTCTTATCTTGTTTAGACAAGGTCATAGTCAAAGTGGAGGTTCTCTCCTCCCTTCAGAGAAAGGTACCTCCTTCTTTGATGACCTGTTCTTTCCACTGGGATCTCACTCACAGAGATCTATTGCCAGAGTGTCTTGGCTTTCCATGCCTGAAATACTCTCATGGGCTTTTCAGCCAGATCCGAATGCCTTTAGGGCTGATTCTGAGGCCAGAGTGCTATTTAGGACATCTGCCATTCTATGAGTCTGCTGAGTATCTCACTTCCCATGTTGGATCACTCTCCCCTTTATTTATTCTATCGGTTGGTGTTAGCAGATACTAGACTTGTTTATGTGCTCCCTTTGACTCTTAGTCCTTTCATTATGATCAATTGTGAACTGAAATTGATCACTTGGAGTAGTGAGATGGCATTGGCACATGCCACCTTGATGGGATTGAATTGGAATCCCCTGGTATGTTTCCAACTCTACCAATTGGGGCAAGTCAGCTTGAGCATGTCCCAAATTATACATCTCTTCCCTCTCTTATTCCCACTCTTATGTTTAACAGGGATCACATTTCAGTTAATTTTCAACACTTAAGAATAACTGTGTATTAATTACAGAATTAAACCGGTCATATTAAGTAGAACAGACAAAAACCTACTAAGAGGGATAATGTATTAAGTTGTTCATTAACAGTCAGGGCTATGCTGATCAAGTCACCGTTTCCCATAGTGTCCATTTCACTTCAACAGGTTTCCTTTTGTCTCCTCAGGAAGACTGAGGAAGGCCCACCTGTGGGCTGTGGTTGGGGTGGGGGAGGGCTGGGGGTAGTCATGATGCCACTGTGTGTGGGGGGCACGCAGACATCCTCCCCACATTGGGTGGGCTCAGAAATCCTCACGGGATGGAGGGCGTTGGCACCCACACAGAATTGGGGGTGCTGGCACACTCACGGATTGGAGGCCACTGGCAACTTCATGCGTCGGGGGGCACGGGCTCCCTCATGGGTCGGGGGGCACGGGCATTCTCACAGTGTTGGGGGCCCAGGCACACTCACAGGGTTGGGGTGCTGGCATCTTCTCTGATCGGCGGATGCTGGCACCCTCATAGGTCGAGGGGCCAAGGCAACCTCAAGAGGTCGGGGGTGCAGCCCCCCATGGGGTTGGGAGGCACTGGCACCCTCACGGGGTTGGGAGGTGCTGGCACCCTCACGGGGTTGATGTCTACTGCAGCCCCCCGCACGGGGTTGGGGTCCGCAGCCATGCTCACGGCTCGGTGGCCTGGACATCCTCACTGGTCGGGGGTCTCAGGCACACTCATGGGGTTGGGGGGCGTAGACTTCCTCACAGGTCGGGGGGCGCAGGCCCCCTCACGGTTCGGGAGGCACAGAAATCCTCACAGGGTCTGGGGGCTTTGGCACATGCACGGAGTCAGGGGGCGCAGGCACCCCCACTGGTTGGGGGCGCAGACATCCACGTGGATCTGGGAACGCAGGCACACGCACGGGGTCTGGGGGCACAGGCTTCCTCACGGGTCAGGGGGGTGCAGCCACCATGACGGGGTCGGGAGGTGCTGGCATCCTCACGGGGTCTGGGTCCGTAGCCATGCTCACGGTTCGGGAGCGCAAACATCCTCACGGATAGGGGGGGCACAGGCTCACTCATGGAATTGGGAGGTGCAGGCACACATACGGGTCGGGGGCACAGACACCCTCACGGGATGGGGTCCGCAACCATCCGCACGGGTCAGGGGGGCGCGGGCTACTCACCGTGACCAGGAAGGCCCTGAGGCAGCTGCGGCCGGGTCCTGCTCAGCCCTGGAGGGAAGCGTGGGAGAGGCTGAGGCCCCGGAGCTGCTCTGAGGGGAAAGGGGGCCCGTGGGGGCGCGGGCGGAGGAGCCGCCGGGACCTGGGCGCGCCCGACTGGATCCAGCTGGGCGGGGTCAGCGTGGGGCCCCTCGAGGAAGGGCTGGGTGTGAGAGGGCAGTGTCTGGAGGACGTGAAAGGGACCCTGAGGGGATTTCTGAAAGGAGAACGTCTGGGGCACATCTGGGAGGAGTCAGAAAGGGGTCGTGAACTGATGCAGTGTCCCCTGCTCTGCGCTCCGCGCACCTCCTGAGCCCTGGGGTCCGAGGGCCCCGGTTCGGGGGCGCCTGTGGAGAAAGGGGGTTCAGGGCGCGGGCCGGAGAGCGGCCTCTGGGGTCCGCAGACTAACTAGAATTCTGTGACGGACGCCATGAGAGGCTCCCAGAAAGCTGCGTGCGCACCCAAGGGAAATCGCCCCACCCCCAGAGTGGGCGGTGACAGAGCTGCACGCGCAGCTCCCATTTTGACGCCTCGGACCACGCCCCTCTGTTTCATCTTTCTCACTGACCAATGGGCTTGAAGTGTGGCGACCACGCCCACCCAGCCTCGCCTAGTTCTGCCCTGAAGCTGCTTCTCCTGGCTCAGTCACATACCTGCGCGGTAGCTGCCAGGAGGAACTCGCGTTGGTTGCTGGGATCGTGATGATGTGCCGCACCTCGCACCCTCCCCGCGGTGTCGGAGGAAACCTGACAGAGCAAACTGGCTGCGGCCAAGAAAAAGGTAAAACATCGGGTCGCGCCCCCCGGCCCAGCCCACTGCCCCTCTGACAGCCAGTCCGTGGCCGGGGTCTATGCGGCTACTCAGACACTCTGGTCGAGCCAGAACGCCCCTTTGGCTTCCCCCACCCAAGTCCTCTCAGCCAGCACCGCCCCCTCAGCACCCAGCCCCCGCCCTGGCTTGTCGCCCCTGGGTGACTTTGGGCCATTGGCTCCTGGGGCTCCTTGGCCCAGCCTCAGACCTCGCCTCCGGCCTCCCGAAGCCGGACCTCCTTGGGGTCTGTGGGCTCAGTCTCCAAGGACTCGGGTCCCTACCCTGCGCCCCACCTCCCCCTGCGCAGCGCATGGGTAGGGCAGAGTGGGATGTGGTGAGGTCAAATCCTCCTGGGGACTGGCATTACCTCCAGCTCGGGCTTTGATCTCCCGGCCCAGTCCCCTAAGTCCTCACCCCCTTTCTGCTTCCGCCTGCAAGGGGACTGGGGACTGGGGGACCCCCTTCCTCAGCTCAGACACTGACAGTGAGATGTGTCCCGTTCCCCGGGGGAGCTGGAAGTGTGGGCAGTGTTTCTGGGTGACCGCGGGAAAACAGGTTTGGTTTTCCCCCAGGTTTTTACTCTCCAGAGACTTACTTTGGGGGTGTGCGAGTTCTCAGGCTCCCATTCAATTTCCCTGATGCTGGGATCAGAGTGCCCCACACTCAGGCTCTCTGGAGTGACAGCTGTGTGACCGTCTGTGGAACAGACTTTGGGAGACTAAACTTTGTAGCCTGAACCCTCCCCAGGGGAGTTTTTGAAGCTGGGTGAGGGCACTGCCACAGAGGAGCAGGCAGCAGCTTGGTGAGGCCACCCTGGGGCTTGGGACGGAACCTGTCGTGACGTCATAATGGGCCCTTGGCTGGAATAATGCCTGGGTTCTACTCTTTCTCCTCGGTGTCCAGGGTTCCTCGGGGTGCCCCTCAAAGTTCTGTGAGGTTCTGATATGGAAGGAAGGACCCAATGTCTTGTTTCCAAACCACACAAAGCGCAATTCCTGACCACATAATGTTTAACCTTCTATCTCTACCTCTGGTTTTGCTCCCAGCAGCTGCTGATTCTTGGCAGAACCCCAGAAGTGAGAGTTGGAAGCTGATTTTAAATTCCATCATTCCCTTTTATTGAAGCCATGTTGTCAGTTCTTCAGACATTAACTGATCGTTCCAGCCCCTTGAAGGGTTGTTGGTGGCATGAAGTCAGTGGTGGGCATGAGAGTTCTTGAGAACACTGTGAAGTAGGATGTGACCGCAGGGGCTTAGGGCATTCCAGAGAATCAACTGCTTTTCCTTTCCACAGTTAAGAGACTATCAGCGGAAGAACAGGCCTGGTGGTCCTGCAGGAGGAAAAAAGAAGAAAAACCTTAAAAACGGCAGTAGCCCTGAGACAACCGCTTCTCGGGGTTGTCACTCAACTGAGGATGTGAGTCTTGGCTGGCCAGGCTGCTGGGGGCTCGGGGGCTAAGGGGCAATGGGGGGTGGGGGGTTGGGGATCCAGAGGACAGTGGAAGATGGTGGAAGGGAGTGTTAGATACTGGTCAAGGACTCTGGGTCTGAATGCTCCCTTTCCCTCTGCTAGGGATATGATGTAAGGCAAACTGTTCAAGCTTTCTGGGCTTCTCTCTCCACATCTGTGAAATAGATAGGGCTGATGTTTTACTTACAAAGTTTGAGAGTTTTTGCTGTTCTTGTATTAATCCAGAATACAGGGTCTTGTAACATTCATAGTCGCTGGTATTTGCGACTTCCTCATCCCCGGCCTCAGGAAAAGCCAGGCCAGTGAGAGCAGCCCGGCCATCAGGCTGTCCCCTTAGGAAGCCCCAGGCACTGGGATGCGGCCTTGGCTCTGGGTGACCTCAGAAAAGTAACAGCCTCCCCTGGGCTTCAGTTTCAGGCTGTCAGATATTATTGGATTGGAACAGTGTCTTCTAATTGTTTAGCTGTAGCCTCCCTGTTCAAGAGAACCCTTCTGCAGAAGTCTGGTTTTAACATGGAGAGTGGGGGTCGTGTCTGGGGGAGGGTCTGAGAGCCGTGCTGGTCAGTGACTGCGCTTCCTGTGATTCTGGGGCCTGGGGACTTTTCCCTCTGTCTGGCGAGGCAGCAATGGCCAGTCTGAGAGGATGGCCTAGGGGCCACAGTGTGGATCTCTGCTCTTCCTCAGCCTCCGTTTCCTGACTCCACCTCTTCCTTCCCCGACATCCTCGCCTCTCTCTAAGCCACGTCTCTGTGTCTTCCCTGCCCTTGTTTTCCCCTTTTCACCGCCTCTAGATGCAGGACATACTGAAGGTGCTGGCGTCTGACCTTAACCATTCCAATGGGGTAGCGCTGCCCCATAGGACAAGTGGAAGGGGAGGCAGTGCCGAGACCCCCCCCCTCTGGCTTGCTGCCTCCCAGATGTGCATGTCCCTGAGGCTTGTCTCATTTGGTGCAGACTCTGCCTCTGGCTTGTTTTAAGTTGCTGCCATTAACCCTCGGCCTGCTTATGTCTGCTTCCTCCCCTGCTTGGCTAATTGCATTTTTTCCCTTCCCTTGTGTCTTTTATCATCTTGGAGAGGGTAAGACACACCTCAAAGATTCGGTAATTTGGGAATAACTTCCAGAGCAGGTCTGTGGGGTTTTGGGCTTTGAATGCCCAGTGCGGTCAGACCAGGAGAAATTTGAAAACATACAAATGCTGTTACATTTTGCCCTCTGGGCAAGTAGACCAGATGGAAGTGAGTGATTTTTCAACTTGATGAATTCCATTTTGGTTTGAAAGTGAGAAGGTAGAATTAAGAGAAAATGAATTGGCTTTATAATCACAAGGATGGAGGTTAGCTTTTCAGAGGAACTAACCAGCAAGGATGTGAAGCTACCCAGACAGACCAGTGCTAGGACACTCTGCCTGCCCCTCGTCTCTTTGACAACTCAGATGGGACGCTCAACCATGTTCACTGGGCCCATGGATGGCAACGGCATTGGATGCACAGTGGTGGAAGTAGAAGAACAAGACAGGAGGTGCCATGGGGGTGGCAGAGTCCTCTGAGGGGGCAGGGGAAAGGCGGCAATAGGCCAGCTGCGTGGCTAGGTGAGGGAGGTGGGTTCCGAATGGACTTGCGGCTGGAGAAGGTGGCGTTTGAGGCCAGTGTGAAGATTAAAGGTGGGTAATATTCATCCACGTGGCGAGTGGGGGAGGCAGAGGGAGCAAAGAGGTCATAGGCAGCATCGTGAGGTCATAGAACACCTTTCAGGGCTGCAGGGAGCCTGAGTTGTGGGAGGGGAAGGGCACAGGCACATGGGGCTAGGTAGGCCATAACCTGCAGATAATGTTGGCACTTCCTGTCTAACTGCCCCAGGGCCTAGCCAGTGTAGCAGGGCTGATCTGCAGATGGGCCTAGGGAAAGGGACAGGTGGCTGGTCAACCATCATGGCAGCTCCCACCCAGGAAAGTCTGGCTAGGGGCCATGATCACTCTGCGGCCTCAGAGGAGACACAAATGGCATAGTCTGGGCGGGGCCCAGGCAAGGAGAAGTCCTGACAGCTGAATATTTGACTTCAAGTAGCTCAGTGTACTTGAGCCATCACAGTGTCTGCAAGGGTTGGCGTGAGGAGGAAGCTGGAGTCAGAGCTGGAGCTAGGAATTGGGCTCAGGCACTCTGAAGCCAGGTGCAGCCTTCTCATCTGGTGTCCTGACACCCAGGCGAAGCTGGACCTTCTGATGTGAAGCGAAGGGCAGGCTTCTCATCTGGTGTTGTGACACCCATGTGAAACTCCACCTTCAGACTGAAAGCAAGGTGCAGGCTTCTCATCTGGTATCCTAACAACCACGGGAAGCTCCACCTCCAGACGTGATGTGAGCTGCTGGCTTCTCATCTGGTGTCCTGACACCCAGGCGAAGCTCCACCTTCAGACTGAAGCCAGGTGCAGGCTTCTCATCTGGTGTCCTGACACCCAAGAGAAGCTCCACCTTAAGACTGAAAGCCAGGTGCAGGCTTCTAACCTGGTGTCCTGACACCCAGGCGCAGCTCCACCTCCAGATGTGAAGGAGGTTCAGGTTTCTAATTTGGTGTCCTGACACCCAGGTGAAGCTCCATCTTCAGACTCAAAGCCTGGTGCAGGATTCTCATCTGGTGTCCTGACGCCCAGGCGAAGCTCCACCTTCAGACTGAAAGAGAGATGCAGGCTTCTCATCTGGTGTCCTGACACCCAGGCGAAGCTCCACCTTGAGACTGAAAGCCAGGTGAAGGCTCATTTGGTGTTCTGACACCAAGGTGAAGTTCTACCTCCAGATGTGAAGGAGGTTCAGGCTTCTAATCTGGTGTCCTGATGCCCAGGTAAAGCTCCCCCTTCTGACTGAAAGCCAGGTGCAGGCTTCTCATCTGGTGTCCTGACACCCAGGTGAGCTCCACTTTCAGACTGAAAGCCAGGTGAAGACTTCTCATCAGGTGTCCTGACACCCAGTCGAAGCTCCACCTTGAGACTGGATGCGAGGTGCAGGCTTCTCATCTGATGTCCTGAGACCTAGGCGAAGCTCCACCTTCAGAAGTGATGTGAAGTGCAGGCTTCTCATCTGGTGTCCTGACAGCCAGGCGAATCTCAACCTCCATACGTGAATGAGGTTCAGGCTTCTAATGCGGTGTCCTGAGGCCCAGGTGAAGCTCCACCTGCAGACTGAAAGCCAAGTGCCGGCTTCTCATCTGGTTTCCAGTTACACAGGCAGAGCTCTACCTTCAGACTGAAAGCGAGGTGCAGATTTCTCATCCGGTGTCCTTACACCCAGGCGAAGCTCCACATTCAGACTGAAAGCCAGGTGCAGGCAACTCACCTGCTGTCCTGATACCCAGCCGAGCTCCACCTTCACAATGAAAGCCAGGTGCAGGCTTCTCATCTGGTGTCCTGACACCCAGGCGAAGCTCCACCTCCAGATGTAAAGGAGGTTCAGGTTTCTAATCTGATTTCCTGATGCCCCGGTGAAGCTCCCCCTTTAGACTGAAAGAGAGATGCAGGCTTCTCATCTGGTGTCCTGACACCCAGGTGCAGCTCCACCTTCAGACTCAAAGCCAGGTGCAGGCTGCTCATCTGGTTTCCAGACAAACAGGTGAAGCTCCACCTGAATAGGTGATGCGAGGTGCAGGCTTCTCATCTGGTGTCCTGTCAGCCAGGCGAAGCCCCACCTTCTGACTCAAAGCCAGGTGCAGGCTTCTCATCTGCTGTCCTGACACCCAGGAGAATCTCCACCTTCAGACTGAAACCGAGGTGCAGGCTTCTCCTCTAGTGTCCAGAACCCAGGCGTAGCTCCCCCTTCAGACTGAAAGAGAGGTTAAGGCTTCTCATCTGGTGTCCTGACACCCAGGCAAAGCTACACCTTCATAGGGAAAGCCAGTTGCAGCCTTCTCATCTGGTGTCCTGACACCCAGGGGAAGCTCCACCTTCAGACTGAAAGCCTGGTGCTGCCTTCTCATCTGGTGTCATGACACCCAGGCGAAGCTCCACTTTCAGACTGAAAGCCAGGTGCAGGCTTCTCATCTGGTGTCGTGACACCCAGGTGAAGCTCCACCTTCAGACGTGATGCAAGGTACAGGCTTCTCATCTGGTGTCGTGACACCCAGGTGATATCCACCTGCAGATGTGAAGCGAGGTTCTGGCTTCTAATCTGGTGTCCTGACGCCTAGGTGAAGCTCCACCTTCAGACTGAAAGCCAGATGCAGGCTTCTCATCTGCAATACTGACACCCAGCTGAACTCCACATTCAGACTGAAAGCGAGGTGCCGGCTTCTAATCTGGTGTACTGATGCCCAAGAGAAGCTCAACATTCAGACTAAATTCCAAGTACAGGCTTCCCATCTGGTGTCCTGACACCCAGGCTAATCTCCACCTCCAGACGTGAAGGAGGTTCAGGCTTCTAACCTGGTGTCATGACGCCCAAGTGAAGTTCCCCCTTCAGACTGAAAGTGCGGTTTAGGCTTCTCATCTATTATCCTGATTCCCAACAGAAACTCCCACTTCAGACTAAAAGCGAGGTGCAGGCTTCTCATCTGGTGTCCTGACACCAAGGCGAAGCTCACCCTTGATGAAAGCCATGAGCATGCTTCTTATCTGGTGTCCTGACACCCAGGCAAATCACCACCTCCAGACGTGAAGGAGGTTCAGGCTTCTAATCTGGTGTCCTGAAGCCCAAGTAAAGCTCCACTTTCAGACTGAAAGCCAGGTGCAGGCTTCTCATCTGGTGTCCTGACACCCAGGCGAAGCTCCCCCTTCAGACTGAAAGCCAGGTGCAGGCTTCTCATCAGTTATCCTGATGCCCAACAGAAACTCCACCTTCATACTGAAAGCAAAGTGCAGGCTTCTCATCTGGTGTTCTGATGCCTACTAGAAGGTCTACCTTCAGACTGAAAGTCAGGTGCAGGCTTCTCATCTGGTGTCCTGACATCCGGGTGAAGCTCCACCTTCAGATGTGAAGTAAGGTGCTGGCTTCTCATCAGGTGTCCTGACACCCAGCTGAAGCTCCACCTTCAGACTGAAAGCCAGGTGCAGGCTTCTCATCTGGTGTCCTGACACCCTGGCGAAGCTCCACCTTCAGACTGAAAGCCAGGTGTAGGCTTCTCATCTGGTGTCCTGACACCCTGGCGAAGCTCCACCTTCAGACTGAAAGCCAGGTGAAGGCTTCCATCTGGTGTCCTGACGCCCAGGCGAAGCTCCACCTTCAACTGAAGGCCAGGTGCAGGCTTCTATGCGGTGTCCTAATACCAAGGAGAAGCTCCAGCTGCAGACTAAAAGCTAGGTGCAGGCTTCTCATCTGGGGTCCTGTCACCCAGATGAAGCTCCACCTTCAGACTGAAAGCCAGGTGCAGGCTTCTCATCTGGTGTCCTGATGCCCAAGAAGAATTCCACCTTCAGACTGAAATCCAAGTGCAGCATTCTCATCTGCTGTCCTGACACCAGGGCAAAGTTCCACATCCAGATATGAAGTCAGGTGCAGGCCTCTAGCTGGTGTCCTGACACCCAGGCGAAGTTCTACCTTCAGACTAAAGGCCAGGTGCTGGCTTCTTATCTGGTGTCCTGACACCCAGCGGAGCTCCACCTTCAGACTGAAAGTCAGGTGCAGGCTTCTCATCTGGTGTCCTGACACCCAGGCGATGCTCCACCTTCAGACTGAAGGCCAGTTGCAGGCTTCTCATCTGATGTGATACCCAAGAGAAGTTCCCCCTTCAGACTGAAAGTGAGTGGCAGGCTTCTCCTCTGGTGTCCTGACACTCAGGTGAGCTCCACCTTCAGACTGACAGCCTGGTGCAGGCTTCTCATCTGGTGTCCTGACACCCAGGCGATGCTGCAACTTCAGTCTTGAAGTGAGCTGCAGGCTTCCCATCTGGTGTCCTGATGCCCACACCAAGCTCCACCTTCAGACTGAAATCCAGGTGCAGGCTTCTCATCTGGTGTCCAGACAACAGGGGAAGCTCCACCTTCAGAAGTAGAATTGTGACTTGGTTGTTCACAAAGTAATCACAGTACATAGATTCTATCCCTGGTCTATAGATTCCATCCCTGGTCCACTCTCTAAAGGTATAACTGCAGAGTCAGCACGCCTTTTTCTCATGTAGGCTTTGCAGCCTGGACTCTAAGGAGGCATCCGATTGGGGTTTTCAGAGGCCAGGGCTGAAGGATCCAGAGAGCAGGCAGCAACTCCCTGCCTCCACTCAGCTTCTCTGGCTGCTGTCACTTGTTCAGCCATCTTGGCTGTGTGCGGCCGTCTGGCCTGCTGACATGAGGTGGTCTCTAGAGCCAGATGCGTGGACCGAGAGTTAGGCCTGAGCCTGGGGAGAAGCTGGATGGGGCTGGCCGAGGGAGGGGGTCCCACTGCGGCAGAAGGAGGAGAGGCTTCTCCACATCTCCAAGCACTAGATCCCCGCATTGTTCCCTAGCAGTTTTTCTGGCAATGAGGCGCCATGACCTCCATGTGCCAAATCAAAGAGCAGACGTCTTACCTGTGATTTCCTGGCTTCTTTTGGTAGAGTAGGTGTTTCTGGAGCTGCGAGATGGGGCTGAGAGGTATGCCCATGAGGCGGCTGTGGTTGATTTTATCTCCAGAAAGCAGGGAGGGGCTTCTTGGGCAACATTTCTCCTTGGAAAGGCCTTAATCAGAGAACTACAGCTGATGGTTGAGGCAGAGAGGAGGGCAGGGAGAAAGGGCGGAGAGCAGGAGAGGGCAGTGGCAGAGAGCTACCTGGAGGGAGCCCCGTCACCACCAGTGGCCTCAGCCCAGCAGGGGCCTAGAGTCAGGGTCACTGTGTGGCAGAGACTGGCTTCCTGGAAGAACACTGCCATGCTCCCTGATGTTGGTGCCCGTTCCTTCTGCCTGCTGCGGCTGCCGGAGGTCAGAGCCCTTGCTGAGGTCCAGGGAGAACCAGGGCCTCGTGTCCATGGAGGTTGTAGCCCCCTTCCTTTGAGCTTTGGCCACCTGAAAAGATGTCACGTGTCCCCAAGCCTGGGCAAGCCATTCCCACAACCCCTGTGGTTCCCAGCATGTGTGACTGTCACTCTGACTGCTACGACATCTTCCTACCTGCTCTGCGCCCTTGTGTCCATGGCAGCGAGGCACCTCCTCTCCTGCACGGCCCCCTAACCCCCTGCTCTGTTCCCTGACAGGCGCCCAAAGACCGCACTGCTCCTGCACCACCCTCTGCTGATGCCACCGTGTTACTTGGCTGTTTAGCGCCCCCTGGCGCTAGTCTAACTAGCATGGCACCAACTCAGGTTTGCCTCCATCCTTCTGCCTGCTACCCCTGTATGCTTGCACAATCTCCCTTCCCAGAGGACTGTGCCTGCTGTGCCTTCTCTTCTCCTTTCTTCCGGCAGCTTGGTTCCCAATGTGAGGAACCCTTCCCAGCACTGGGGTGGGGGAGGCCAAGATGGGGCTTTCTCTTGAGCTTGTGGCAGTGGCAGGTTGCTGGAAGGAGCTGGGCTCCTGCCACCCCTGGGTGGTTCTTACTGGAAATCAGGTGATCACTCTCTCTTCTCCCTCAGATCCATGATGCTGACCATGGCCCTGTCCTCATAGATGAGACCAAGTGAGTGTCTTCCTGTGCGGGCAGCAGTCCCTAAGCCATGGGAGTAAGGGCAGGCCACAGCCCAAGGACCTCTTTTGCATCAAGCCCCTGCACCCCTGACCTCTGTGTGCCTGTCCCTAGGACATTGTCCTCCACGGAGAGCCTGCGTCAACCTGCTCAGCAGCTCCATGGTCTTGTCTCCGAGGTACCCCAGACACTGGGACTCAGGAAGGGAGGAGAGAGAGGAGAGGACAGAATGGAGGCTGGGATTCCTGAGAGATGGGGAGATCCTGGGATAGACTGACCTGCTGGGCCGTGTTGGGCAGGCTGGGTGACGGCTTCTTCTTGGAAGCCATACAGATGAAGGACATGGCCATGAGAACGGTGACAATGTATCTCAGCGCAGGAAGCATAGGGAGAGCATCACTCAGGAAGGGAGGGGTATGGTGATGAGACCCAGGAGAAGCTGGCATAGAGGGTGATGAGAGGAAGAGGCCAGGCTGGGCAGAGGAGTTTTCCAGGTGGAGGTGGGGGGCAGAGAGGTAGTCTGAGGGTAGGCATAGAGGGTGATGAGAGGAAGAGGCCAGGCTGGGCAGAGGAGTTGCCAGGTGGAGGTGGGAGGAGAGGTAGTCTGAGGGTAGGCATAGAGGGTGATGAGAGGAAGAGGCCAGGCTGGGAGAAGAGTAGCCAGGTGGAGGTGGAGGGGGAGAGGTAGTCTGAGGGTAGGCATAGAGGGTGATGAGAGGAAGAGGCCAGGCTGGGAGAAGAGTTGCCAGGTGGAGGTGGGGGGGGAGAGGTAGTCTGAGGGTAGGGACTTGGCGGTGGAGGACGTAGCATCTCCATGGGAGCTCTTGTCTCTTCTAGTCAATGTCCTACATCAATGGAGAGGGCCTCACATCTTCCTACATGAAGGTCTGGAGGTGAGTGGCTCTGCAGGGCCAGCCCCCCTCTTCTCCCACAGCGGGGGCTGAGTGCCCTGCTGCCAGCTGAGACAGCCCGTGCCACCCCAGCCCTAATGACTGCTCTCTCTGCCTCTCCCCAAACCCTCCTGCAACTCCTCCTCTCTGCATGCGCCTCAGAGCAGGTACCAAGAGCTGGCAGTAGCCCTGGACTCCAGCTATCTAACAAACAAACAACTCAGTAACACCATAGAGGAATTGGTAAAGAGCCAGTGGGTCCCCTGATTCCATGCTGCCCACACCTGGGCTTCTCTGTTTCCCCGTGGGCTATGAAGAAAGGGGCTGGGGGCCCCTGGTGCTGAGGGAGAGTGGGGTGCTGGGTGGGCCAGGTCTCAGCTGGAGGGACCCCAGAGCATGGAGCATGCAGCATGGCTCTCATCCTGTTGCTGCCCTCTCCACCTCCTCTCTTCTCCAGACACCCCTGCTTGCACCCTGGCCACACAGCCATGGGATTGTGGCCTCTCATTCAGCACTGGCCATGAGCCTCGTGTCCCCACCCTGACTCAGGCCCTGACTTGAGCTTTGAGTTTGGACAAGCGCCTCTCCACCCTGGACTTGAGTTTCCCAAGGAGGTGGAAATGGCAGTTGTCAAAGGTCTCTTTTAGCTCTAAGAATCCAAGATTTCCAGGCTTCCTGGGACATCAACCTCAGGGAGAGAAGGGATCTTACCTGTGCTTTTCATTCCTGTATCCCCGCTGTTAAGAGCAGCCCCAACCCCTATGTAGCACGTGCTGAGCTGTCAACGATGCGCACCACCCCTGTAAATCCAAACCTAGCGGAAGGCCTGTCTTTTCTCACATTCTGTTTCTGGAGGCTCACCTTACTGTCCCCTAAGAAGAATCCCAATTCAGACGCGGTTCCATAGCTGTGAGCAAAAACCAGCAAAGACCCACATGCTCTTTCCTTGGGAGCCTCGGGACAGGTCCTGTGCCCATAGGGTCTGAGAATGTGCCAATCCCGCCCTGGCCCCCTGTGCACCCCCTCTTGCTCTGGGAGTGGAGTAGAGGGGACATCCTTAGTCACCTTCCTTTCTTTGACTCTCCCCACAGAAACAACAGCAGCATCGGTTTAGAGGGAGGCAGTGGCCCCTGCTCATGGCTCTTTTCCCTGTGGTCTGGGCAGCTCTGCACACTGAGGGAGGAAAAGGAGTGCAGCCTGAGTCAGGTGTGGGAGTTGGAGACCACCTTGGCCGAGCTCAAGAGCCAGATGGGTAAGCAGGGGCAGAGGTGGCCTGGGAGCAGGATGGGTGTTGGGTGCCCCGGTGAGTGGTGTTGTGGCAGAGGGAAGCAGGTCTGTGCTGGTGGATGGCGAGTCTTGTCATCTCTTTGAGCATAGGTGACCTCATCTGTAAATAGGGGTGGCGCACCCACTGTCCACCATGCACGGTCAAGCACTCTGTGTCCTGGCTTGGAAGGGTAATGACCATCTGAATATGGAAAGTTGTTAGCCAAGAAGCCAGCACCGGGGTGGGGGCAAGCCGTTGGCCTGAGGAGCTAAGGACCAAGACAGGAGCTTTTTGAAAACCCAGAGGCCAGGGCCCCTGATGGCTGCTTCCTTTCTCAGCTGAGCCTCCCACCCCAGAGTCCCCAGCTTCCCCCGCGGGGCCGTCGGAGGTGGAACAGCAGCTGCAGGCGCAGGCTGAGCAGCTGCAGAAGGAGCTGGAGAGCCTGGAGGGACAGCTGCAGGCCCAGGTGCAGGACAACGCAGGCCTGAGTCGCCTGAACCAGCAGCAGGAACAGCGGCTGCTGCAGCTGGAGCGGGAGGCAGAGCTGTGGGGCAGCCAGGCTGAGGAGCACAAGCAGAGCGACCACGTGACCATCAGCCGTGCGCTCCTGCAGAACCTGGAGCTCAAGGAGCAGCTGGCCAAGCTGCAGGATGGCTTCGTGAGACTGGTGTGTTTGGCCTCCCTGGACAAGGCCTCTGGTACAAAACACTTCCCTCTGGGCCTTCACTCCCCCCCACCAAAGGGGACGGTGATGACCTAGGCAGGCGCCCTGTGAGCCAGGACCCTGCTCAAATGTCTGTTGGAGGAAAGGGGCTGAGCTTCCAGCCCTCCCAGCACTGTGGGAGGTGGGCACCTGGTGCTGGGATCCGGATGCAGCCACTTTGGGGGCAACGATTGCTTCTCTCTGTGCAGAGCAATGACAACATGCGGCTCACCCTCTCGCTGCAGGCAGAGCAGCACATCAAGAACGAGCTGGCCAGGAACTCGGCCAGCTGCAGGAGAAGCTGGGGGAGCTGAAGGAAACGGTAACGCTCAGCCCGACTGTGAAGGACTGGGCCATGGGGACAAGTCTCTGGGAGGGCAGTGCTAGGCCCAGGAGGGAGGCTGCTCCAGTCTGGAGTGACAGGTGACCTCCATGTCGACTGTCCTGCTCTCTTAGGGCTGGTAGCCCGGGCTCCTCCCAGGCCTGGACATCATTGTCCCACGAGAGGTGTTTCAACCCACCTTACTACCCTTTGCTAAGCCTCAGATCCTGACAAAGGAACTTAGCATTTTTTCCTTACACAGGTGTTGAGGATGAGCTGAGATTGTGCATGTAAAGTATTAGGCACGAGTGTTCCCCTAACAGCTGATGCCTTCCCTCTCGCGTGTGGCCTCAAGTTAAAGTGATGGGAAAGAAGGGGATGAGGTGTGAGGCTGGGTGCAGGAGACATGGGGCTCTGGGCCACTCTCCTGCAACCAGTGGAATTGGTTAGCAAGCCACCACCTGCCCTCATGCTCCCCCCACCCCCCTTGGTCTTCCGCAGATGGAGCTGAGAGCCAGGAGCTCAGGGTCTGCACCAACAGCGCGACCAGTGCCTGTTCCACCTGCAGCAGCACGTGGCCGCCTACACACAGCTGCACTTTGAGAAGAGGCGCTACACAAGCAAACCCTACGTGCAGCAGCTCAGAAGCACCCAGAAGATGCAGAGCCCCCAGGAGCGCCCAGGCTTGGGCACCAACCACTGCATCCCCTTCTTCTACCGGGCTGACGAGCATGACGACATTATCGTCTAACACCAGATGCCGTCAGCCCAGAGAGCCCCAACCCCATCCTTGCCACTCCACCCCTGCTAGCCACCCTATCCCCTGCCGTTCCTTCCCAGTTCCCTTTCCTCCTTAGCAAGAACCCCTGATGGGGAGAGAAAGGCCTCTTTAGGCTGCCTCTCTGGAGGACCCCGGGGGCTCCTGGGGCCTCCTCATTTCCAGCTCCATCCTCAGAGGCCGTGATCAACACACAGGCAGCATTTGTGTGGCCCCCAGAACAGCCGAGACCAGGGGGTGCTCATCCACTTGGGAAGTCAGCCAGGCAGTTTTCATCACCCCTCTTGGGGCTAAGTGTCAGCCTGGCTGGCATAATCTGGCCGGGAACATCACGTGGGGGCATCAGCAGGCACAGACATGAGGGCATCAGGAGAGGAGGGCAACTGAGTGAGGGTCATTGCTGGGCGGGGGCACCCAGGCTAGGGCATCGCTGGGCAAGGGTCACTTCTGGGGCAGGGGCATCATCATGGGCAAGGGTCACTTCCAGGACAGGGGCGTCATGGGTAAGGGTCACTTCTGGGCCAGGGCATCATGGGTAAGGGTATATGGGTGAGGAGGGCACAATAGGATGAGGGTCCTCTCTGGGCGAGGGCAGTCCCTTATTCAGGGAGGCTCCCGGTCCCGAATCGCAGGGTGGCCTGGGCAAGCTGAGGCGAATGGGAGGCCGGGTGCTTACCACACGTGGCGCTCATGGTAGGCCATGCATGGTCCAGCTCTTCACTCCATGCTTGTGCCCCCAGGCAGCCCAGCTGGGAGGCACGGTCAACAGTCCTCAAATGGTCGGCTGCGGC